GGGGGGAGGTCGGAAGACTGGAGGTTGGCATAGAGGTATTAAAAAGGCTGAACAAAGTACGGCACGCCGGAAATGTCGAACATCCCGGCTTTGGAGGATGGTTTCGCTGAGGGGATTGCTTAATCATGGTCACCGGAAATAGCCTGTCCGAAACCGAATGTGCGTCTAGGATCAATTAATGGGTCCTAGTTCGAAGCCCATACAGGAATAGTCGTGCGAATAACGACACGATCGGAACAGTATGGAACATCCAGTAACGCCAGTGAAAATGGCAAGGAGTCGTGATGGGTCAGTAGGTATTTGCAATTGCCTACAGTACAATTTTTAGTGCGCGAGGTGTCAGCTTAACGAAAATTCTGCAGAATCATTATTTTCAAAGTTAAGTTATAAACAGTGCTCTGAAAGGCATTTGACTGGGTTTGAAGAAGGCTTCAAAATGTGTGAAGGGCAGATATCACCTATTCGCACTGGGATAATGCTGTCTTGCTGGCGTTAGCAGGACTTTCTAAGCGTGTTTCTGTGCTGAATGCGATAAGTCAATAACATAAACCCCAGAGTAGTTGGCGCCTTATGGTAACTGCACGGCAACACAACATACATAGTCAACCCGAAGAAACAGTCAAAAGTCCAGAATACTTCGGCTGTTGTGCATTCTACTTATTTACTTAATGACGGAATCGATCCTTCCTCATATTCAGACTAATGCGTGCTTGAAGAGTTGCTCTGATAGGGGACGGTAGTGTAAATGAGAAAGTTGCCAAAACCGTCTTGGCACAACTACAAAACGTAAATCAGACAAGATAACATGCACAAAACAAAGCACTTTCTTATTCTGCCTTGTAAGTTTCAGACCTAAAAGCAGTAATTTTGCCAACAGCCAAAACCCGTAAACTATAGGAATATAAATTACTTTAAAAGTTATTACAAAATGGCTAGCCGTAGCTCAGATAAGCTGACTTCCGTGTACAGAAAGATGCCTTGAGGCAGGTTATTGTCAGTTAACACATAAACCTAAAGCGAGGTAAGTACCACGTTAGCTACACGAAAGGTATGTTCATAATTATATGGCCTCTCTGGAGCCAATCTCTAAGGCACAAAAAGGGCCTCGTACAGAGCAAAAACGGCCTGAAAATATGAAAGTTTCAGTGCTCACAGCAGGAAATGCGTGAAAAGACAAAGTGTTCTAATGTCCTCTCGATCTTGAAAAAGTTTAAGGATGTGTGCACGCTCCCACTCGCTTGTGAGTGGATAGAGTGAGGAGCGATTCATTGTGTTTTCTTTGAGCTTGCTGCAGCTCACGGTAGACATCATCGAAGTCGACGGTCGAGCTGTCGTCGTGTCGAAATATCCTACTTATAATTGTTACGGTTGCGATCATGTCTTATCTAGTCGGCCTCGACGGCCGGGAAGGCGGGTTGCCCGTTAGCCTAACTGTTGGCTACCTGGTGGGTCCATAATTCGCGGATAGTGGAACGGCCTTCAGTAAATTTTAGCCGTGAACCAAGAAGACTCTCGGGTCCGGCAAATAAATCGTCGCAGACCAGCAGCGACAGTGTCAAAAGTTTATAAAATGTCGCAAAACTTGACGATGGCACTGCGACATAGCGACCGTGAAACTCAATGAAAGAAGTGCGCTTGCCACTACTGTCTTTCGATCAGGCTATTGAGCCAGAGCGTCAAAGGGGGGCACCTCGAACAAACAATCCAAGCGACTGTTGGGACTCCTTCGTACTCACAATTTTCAAGAAACCTTATGAAAACTATGTCCGATCACTACTGTTTAGGGAGTTAAGTCAGAAACGTTTTGTTACTTTATCAAGACCATATGCAGTGTGGGTATTCACTGTCGACGCCCACTCTTTGTTAACTTGGTTTCATGCTTAGCTCGGGACATAAATATGGGCTTAATTCGTAAACTGCATAAATGAAACGCTAAGTAACTAATGGAATAGACAAAACTTCCCTGAACTGTTCCATTTTTGATAGTTGATGACTTTAAAATACAACAACCATCTTCTAAGATAATTGACGAAGGATACCTAAAACTAACTAACATGCACCAACTTCACATGGTTGTAAGGGAACTTAATAAATACTGACTGACGCCAGGAAGCACATCTTAAGTAACTCAGGAAAAATTCACCCATCTATAGAATATTATATACATATTATTGCATTTACCAGAAATATTACAATTTTTGTCGTCCAACTTCCCGACGCGTGACCCTATGGGAGTTAGCATGTTTGTGACGTGCTTTTGTCCGGGTAAAACGCGTCTCAAACAATGAAAAGGTTAAAAGCAACCCAAATCTTTGCCAAACATTTGAAAAATGCCCGGCTGTCATGCTGCACAGTGGCTCCCGGGGGATGTTTGGCCTGATAATTATTTAA